ATAGACAGGGAGAGGGCAAGAATGGTATGGGAAATATAGAATTTAAAGAACTTGTGACACATGGACACAAACAAAAGGGGGGGAGTGTGCAAGGTGGAGGGGAATGAAGGGGGGAATGGGACAACTATAATGGCATAATCAATAAAATATATTAAAAAAAGAACTCTCAGCATAGTAGGAATAGTGGGAATATACTTCAATGTAATACAGGCTTTATATGACAAACCCACATCATGCTGAAAGGGCAAAAACTGACTGTTTCGTCATGACCAGGACAGGTACATCTGCTTTCACCTCTCTTATTCAACATAGTACTGGAAGTCCTAGCCTCAGTAGTGAGAGAAGAAGAATTAAAGGGCATTCAGATTGGAAAGGACAAAGTAAAACTGTCATTAGTTGCAAATGATGTGATATTGTATATAGAGAACCCTAAAGATTCCATTGAAAAATTCCTAGAACTGATAAATGAATTCAGCAACATAGCAAGATACAAAATAGATACCCAGAAGTCAGCTGCAGTGTTAATGCCAATAATGACCTATCAGAGAAGGAAACTAAGAAAACCATTAAATTTACGAGAAAAAAATACCAACGAATAAATTTAACTACATATTTAAAAGACCTGACCTAGGAAATTAGAAGACATTGAAGAAAGGAAATGAAGACAATACAAATAAGCAGAAGCATTAACAATGTTCATGGATAGAAAGAATTAACATCATTAACATGTACACACTACCCAAAGCAATTTATAGATTCAATGCAACTCCTATCAAGATACCAAAAGCATGCCCTGGCTAGTGTGGCTCATTGGTTAAAGCATCATGCCATAACTGAAACGTTGTGGGCTTGACTCCCAGTCAGGGCACATACTTAAGCTGTGGGTTCAGTCCCCAGCCTAGGTGCCTGTGATCCTCAGTCTGAGTGTGTACGATTCTCAATCCAGGTGCATACTGCTATCTTGAGGAAGAATGAAACGGAAAGAATCATGCTGTCTGATATCAACAAATACTACAAGGCCATAATAATCAAAATTGCATGGCACTGGCATAACAACAAACATATAGATCAATGGAACATAATAGAAGCCCCAGAAATAGACCCACAGTTTTATGGTCAATATTTGAAAAAGGAGGCAAAAAGTTCCTTGCAGCAATATTTTTCCTGGTATATCTCCATGGGCAAGGGAAACAAAAGAAAAAAATAAACTACTGGAACTACATTTAACTAAAAAGCTTCTGCACAGCAAAAGAAACCATCAAGAAAAATTAAAAGACAACCAACTGAATAGAACATACTCACCAATGGTACATCTGATTAAAGGTTAATAATCTGAGTTTTGTCCAAGATGGAGGCATGCATAGAAAACTTTTGCTTCCTCACACAACCAAAAGGAGGATAACAACCCATCTAAAATCAGTAAACAATCATAAGTGCCAGAAAATCAAACTGCATGGAACTCTGACAACCAAAGAATTAAAGAAAATCAACTAGAACAACCAGACTGGTAAGGTGGCAGACTATGCACACTGGCTCAGAAAAAAACAAGGGAAGGTGGCAGACCAGGCGGATGGGGCTAACTTATGGGAAAACTGAGACTCAGTGTTTATTGTGGACTACAGGTGGTTGCTGCAGTGGGAGAAACTCCCAGTCTTACAGGAGAGTCTATAGGAAAGTGTGCTAGAGACCATCAGGGGAGCTGCACTGTTCCCTCCCCCAACAGGCAGTGAGGCAGTGCAGCGAAGAGGGTTGCCCTGCCCAGGTGAACGCCTCAGGGTCCATCCCCTTACAACGTATCAGGTTCACCAAGACAAAGAAATAAGGCCCAAATGAAAGAACAGAGCAAAACCTCAGAAAGAGAACTAAGTGATGAGGAGATAGCCAACTTATTTGATGGAGAATTTAAAGCCCTGGTAATCAAAATGCTCGCAGATCTGACAAGCTTGGTTAAAAAATGAAAGATACCCAAAATGAAATAAAGCAAAATATTCAGGGAATGAACAGTGACAGGAAGAAAACCAGGACTCAAAGCAATGATCTGAAACAAAAGGAAAAAATACACATCCAACTGGAACAGAACAAAAAAACCCCAAGAATTCAAAAAAGTGAAGAGAGACTTACAAACCTCTAGGAAAACCTGAAACATTCCAATATCCGAATTATAGAGGTGCCAGTAGGAGAAGAACAACAGCAAGAAATTGAAAACCTATTTGAACAAATAACAAAGGAAAAGTTCCCCAATCTGGCAATGGAAATAGACTTCCAGGAAGTCCAGCAAGCCCAGAGAGTCCCAAAGAAGTTGGACTCAGAGGAACACACCAAGGCACATCATCATTAAGTTACCCAAGATAAAAGACAAAGAGAAAATCCTAAAAGAAGCAAGGGGAAAGGAGAGTTACCTACAAAGGAGTTCCCATTAGGCTATTAGTTGATTTCTTGCCTACAAGGTTTTGTAGGCAAGAAGGTACTTCAAGTACTAGAAAGTATTTGAAGTCATGAAAGGCAAGGACCTACATCCAAGATGACTCTATCCAGAAAAGCTTTCATTAAGAATAGAAGTGCAGATAAAGTGCTTCCCAGATAAGGTCAAGTTAAATAGGTTCATCGTCACCTAGCCCTTATTATATGAAATGCTAAAGGGACTTATCTAAAAAAGAGAAGATAAAAAATATGAACCGTAAAATGACAACAAACTTACAACTGTCAACAGATGAACATAAAAGAAAAGAAAAACAATGAAAACAAAAACTAAGCAAACAACGAGAACAGGAAGAGAATCAGAGAAATGGGCATCACACAGGGGGATTTCAGTAGAGAGGGGGAAGGGAGTAATAGGTGGGAAAAGGTACAGGGAGGAAGAAGTATAATTCATAGGCATAAAATAGACAGGCAGAGATTTAAAAAATGGTATAGGAAACTCATATGTACAACCCATGGACATTAACTAAGGCGGGGGGATGCTGGAAAGTTGTAGAGGCAGGGTGTAGGGGGAATATAGAGGGAAAAATTGGGACAACTGTAATAGCATAATCAATAAAAAGTACTTGAAAAAAGAAACCTGAAACACTAATTTGAAAGAATATCTGCACTCCTATATTCATGACAGCATTATTTATTATAGCAAAGATCTGGAAGCAGCCCAACTGCCCATGTTGCTTTGCCACAGCATGGAAGGCCCTGGAAAGCAGTGTGCTAAGTTAAATAAGCCAGTCAGAGAAAGACAAATACCACCTGATTTCACTTACATGCAGAATCTAATGAACAAAATAATCAAACAAAATAGAAATGGATCCATAGATACAGAGAACAGAGTGACAGCTGTTGAGGGGAGGAGGGTTGAGGGCTCAGTTAAAAAGGTGAAGAGATTAAATTAAAAAAAAAAACTTACAGACTCAGACAACAATATGGTGATTACCAGAGGGAAAGGGGATAGAGGGGGCGGGAGGTTGAAAAGGGTAAAAGGAGGATTAATGGTGATAGAAGGAGACTTGAATTTGGATGGTGAACACACAATACATTATACACATGACACATTACAAAATTGTACATCTGAAACCTATGTATCCCAAGTTTTCTATAAAAAATTTAAAAAGTCAATTTCAAGGATAAAAACTGAAAAGCACACAAACACATAGAGGCTAAACAACATGCTAATAAACAACAAATGGGTTAACAATGAGATTATAGAAGAAATCAAAAAAATACCTTAAGATAAATGAAAATAGAACAACTGAAATCTATGGCAAAAAGCAAACACAATACAGGACAACCTCAAGAAACAAGAAAAATTTCAAACAAAAAAATTTGACGATATGCCTAAAGGAACTAGAAAAAGAATGAAAACAAAGTCCAAAGGGAGTAGAATTAGAAAACAATAAATATCAGAGCTAAAGTATGTTTAAAAGTCTATAAAATAAAAAAATCAATAAAGCTGAGCTGGTTCTTTGATTATATACAAATTAATAAACCTTTCACTAGACTCATCAAGAAAACAAAGAGAGGACCCAAACACATACAATCAAATATGAATAAGGGAGAAATCACAAGGGGCATGACAGAAACATGAAAGATTATAAGAAACTACTACAATTAAATACCAGCCTACTGGACAATCTGGAAGAAATGGATAAATTTCTAGAAGCATAAAATTTCCAATATTGAATCAGAAAGAAACAGAAAATCTGGACATTGATGATTATCAACAAAAATTAAATCGGTACAAAAAAAAACCTCACACAAATGCCTTGGATGAGTTGGCTTCACGGGTGAATTTTCCCAATCATTCAAAGATAAATTACCACCTACTGTTTTCAAACTATTTCCAAAGTAAAGTCAAGAGAATGGAAGGCACTCAAGCTTATTTTATGAAGCCAGCATTACCTTGATTCCCAAACCAGACAGAGACTTTACCAAAAAAAATTATAGGCCAGTATCTCTGTTGAACATTAGTGCCCTCTCAATAAAATATTAGCAACTGAATTCAGCAATATGTAAAAAAAGATCATATACCATGATCAGGTGAGGTTTATTTCTGGGATGCAAGGTTGGTTCAGTATCTGCAAATCGATTAATATTACAAAACAAAGTGAAGGATAAAAAATAATTATATCAATAAATGCAGAAAAAGCATTTGACAAAATCCAGCACCCATTTATGATAAAAAACCTTTGTTTTGTTTAATAGAGGGACCATACTTCAACCTAATAAAGGACATATTTAAGGAACCCACAGCTAACATCATAGTCATTGGGGAAAAGCTGAGAGTGTTTTGTTTTGTTTTCTAAATCCAGGACAAGAATGTTCAGCAGTGTTCAATGGGACCTGGTCCCGTTGTGGCTGCTCCTGCTTCCTTTCTTAAATCAGAGCATGCTGTTTAGTGTGCAGGTCTTAATATAAGTAAGAATGATTTCAGCCATCAAGTAATAAGAATACTTGAACAAAAAGTTTATTTAAGCATAAAACACATTATAATTATTTGGTTGATTTGTAAAGGAGAAGGATTTGGGTCTGAGGGGAAGGGATGGGGGTGGGGATCTCAAGGTATGCAAACAATATACTCAGTGACCAAGCTGCCATGGCAAGGTTGAAGGACATGAGGGTAGGGAAGGAGTTCACCATGAAGAGAAGGGAGCAACACATGCATATCATAGGTCAGACACTCCAAACTTTCAAGAACTTCCTGAGAGGGAGTGAAACCTCTCAGCCATTGCTTCTCTGTTGTCCCACAGGTCCCCTCTTTGTAAAACTATGATCCAGAAACAGCACTGGTTGACAGACTTCTCTGATCAGATTTCCAGTCAGACTTTTCTAACTAGATTTTTTTTCTTGTACTAGTTATTTATGTGAATCAAAATTTCTAGTGACAGCTGTTTGAAAATTTTAGGCAAGAGATGTACTTTCCACAACTGGTTTTAGAAGCACTGCTGTGTCCTTTGAAAGAGGAGCATGTAATTCCACTCATTTCCAGATCTCTGACCATGTGAGGCAGGTGGCATTGTGCTGACCAGTGGCATCTGGTCACCTTCAAATGGGTTTTGACTTAAGGGCACACACTGTTTATCCTACAGGGAGTTGAAAAGTAAATTACAGTACTTTGTATAGTAACCTTGAGTGAATTATGAGGTCATGACTGATTTATACACAAAATGCCACAATGAAATCTGGGTCATGATGAGAAGGAGTGTCCAAACTTGAAGTTCAGTGGAAGAATTAGAGGCTGTGAACAGAAAGGAACATAGTAAGTCCTGTGGTGAAACATACCTGCTTGATATAGGTCAGATCTTTTTTTCAGTTCTCAAGTAAGTGAAGAAGATTACATTGCCAAAAAGCCACTTTGTCCAAACAGCTGCAAAGAAGCAGAATTAACCCAACCGCTGGAAGACCCCCGCTAGCTAACCCCAGTGGGCACCAGGGAAACCATGAGCTAAGGCTACCGCAGGAAATCTTGTTTGTTGAATCAATCATCGCAATTCCAACTACAGCCCAAGTAGACTTGGCAGCCATATTTAAGGCCAATATTTGGTCTTAAGTAGTTGGACAACTTATTTTTTTTAATCACCTGCATCATTTAGATAAAACAGCAGGGACACAAAGGTTAAAAAAAACCCAGAATGGTACTAAAATTTCTTGGGTTTAAATTTTCTTAATTAAATTTTTTTTATTTTTAAATTTTCTTAATTTCTCGATTTTTCTTAATTTCTGGATTTTTATAGGTTAGCAACTGAATGATTGGACCTCAGCTATGAATCCCCCCTCAGGGTGGAGGAATCCTTGTGCCCTGGCACCTGCCCTGGGTGGGAGGTGTGCGTCTACCTCTGCAGCTCTTGCCATCCTCCTGCAGCGTTCCTGTCACACAGCTACACAGAGGCCCATCCACCCGGCTTGTGCAAATCTGCTCACACCCTCCGTTGTCCTCACACCAGTCCAGCCCTAAAAAAGAGCAGTGAGTCAAAGTAACTGTGGACAGTTAAAACTCTTCGACTCATATCAAAGGACAAGGCTGGAAAGAGAGGAGAGAAAAAAAGAGAAGCCTGGTGTGACTGTGAGTTTTTGAGAGGCAAGAAAAAGATGTCATGGGAGTAGACTGTCTTCTCAAACTTGTATCTTCAACCTCTTCATTCACCAGGTTCACATTATAGGTGAAACACAGTCAAGAGTTTTCCCAAGCCTTCAAATCCACTGTTTTAATAATTTATAGTGTGTTTATGAAACATACATACTTTTTCTCCTAATAGGTCCCACTGAAATGATCTGTTCTTTAGGTTCTTTTGCATAATCTGTGGCAATCCTGGAATTTTGTGGGCAATTCTGAAAGACAGAACACCAGTGGGAAAATTTCACAAAATTAAGCTGATATCTTCTTTAAAACCTTGTTGTCACCTTCAAAGAAGCAGTGGTTCCAGCCTCCATCTCTATCACTATTCCGATTAATTAGAACCATTGCTTTGTTGACCACTGAGCTCACTGGGACTCTAGGCTTTACGTTGAAGAGAATTAAATATATTCTCCATACCAGCATTAGATTCAAAGAGGCTGCCTTCCTGGGAACCATCAGGCAACAATGCGTGCAGCAGCATGTATATATAGCTCTGCCTATAATTCACATCTCAATTTTGCAAACATGGGTTAGGTAGAAAGCTGGAATGTTAAAAGTTAGGGATCAGTGCAATAAAATCTTAGTGTTATTAACCCTGTGTGGTGGGGATGTACCCCTGGCACGGAAGAGAGGAGAGATTTGTCACCTCACCCCACCAGCCCCTCCAGAGGCTCAGGCCCTGGTATGGCTCCAAATGAGCTATAGAACAATTCCTGCCCAAAAAACATCCTAGGCCCAGGAGTTTGCTTCCATAGTGGAGTGGAGTTTGGCACTGTTCACTTCAGATTAAGAGGCCCGTCTCCTTGAGATGCTAGTGCAAAGTTCTCAGATGGGCCTCTTTTGCTTCCCAGGGGACAACTAACAATGTCAGGAGACATTTTTAGGTGTTGGAACCTGGAGGGAGGCTCGGTACTACTGGCATCTAGTGAGCAGAGTCCAGGGAGGCTATTAAATGTTGTACAATGCACAGGACAGTCCCCATATAAAGAATGATTTGATCCAAAATGTCAATAATCCTGAGGTTTGAGAAAACCTAATCTAGTGTTACACCAGTGACAAATTGGCATTTTAGAAATAGAGGAGTAAGTGGACATCATTCCACTATGTTCTCTCTCTTATTGTCCCACCAAAGATGACTGCTGCTTTTAAGCATCTGAGGAAGATTCCAATTCAGCCATTTCCAGGTGCTGTGAGACCTAGAGAACTCTACAGCCACACAGATCCTGACACTGGTAATTCCCATCCTGGGGAAGCCGGGGCAGCAAGAAAATATTGCTGAGCATTTACTTTTCACATTCTCACTTACTATTTTACAGGAGTACTTTTCTGAGTCACAGAGTGATACTGCACAGTGAAGATGAACTTCATCATAATCCCCAATGAACTTGAAGACTGTGACGTGAAAGCGACAGGTCAGGGAGACACCATTCTCCTCGATGCCAATAGTGTTATCTTTAATGTTCTGACACCTATTCAGAAAAAAAAAATCTTTGCTTCTTACTTTCACATTTTATATAAAACCACTGTACATGGTAAAAGGACCTTTGCATTTGAAAGTGATTTCTGGACTGTGTGGGTTTGTCATTTATTACCACTCCCTTATATGTACATAGTTTATCTTTTTTAACTTTTTGTATTGTTGTTAACACTATTAAAGATGTCCCCCATCTTCCCTCTAGTTTGTTTTAAAAGCATCAAAGAGCACCTCCAATTAGTGCCCTAACTGCAACTGAAATCACAGTGACTAAGAGGACAGAACTCAATTTCCCTAAGCTTCAGTTTTTTAATTAAAAATTCTGTTCCCTCATAATGCTGTGTATTACAGATACCAATTTAACAAATGAAAGAAGATTACTTCTGTGCTTTTTTCAGTTAATTATCAGTTTGGAGAGGATCCCATGATTCAAATCCTATGGGAAGTCTTCCCATATGTTGAGCTAGGCATGGGCTGGAGGAAAAAAGCAGTCAAGGATGAGCTGAAGAATTGTCTTGAAATGGCAGCCTCTTCTCTCAGTTCCTCCTCTTCCTTGTGGCAGTGAGCCAACAAGCAATGATAGCTACAGACCTCCCAGGTACAGATGTCTTGCCTCTACTACTTAGAGGTCCCCAGATGTACCAATCTTTTATGCCCCAGGGTCTTTTGACATAATGTTCCCCTCTACTCAGAAGTCTTTCTGCAGTTCTTCACATGCATGACTCTTGCTCTTTTTCCAACACTGGCCTATGGCTCCTCTGCCTTTATAAATATTCCTTAGTCCTGCCCTGACCAGGCAGGAACAATCCTGGCCACAGATTTTACCTGGATTTGCCAACAGTACCCTGTTGGGCCCCTAGAGTGCAAGAATGAAACCATAATCCTCACTGTGTCCCCCTGCACACACTGTGGGGCATGTTGAATCTTTGTTGAAGGCACATGTTAGTGAATGAATGAATTGTGCTGCCATGGTCAAAGGTGGCTTGTGAGATCAAAGAAGTTCTTTCAAATGATAAAAATAAAAGGGTGAATTTTTCCTATGTTTCCTTCCCCTAGCCTACAGAATTAAACAGCTTAGTTAATAGAAAAATTATAAATTGAAATAACACTTCAGCATTCCCACACATATTGTTTAGTAATTAGTCTGCAAGGCAATAGTCTCCTGTTTTGAAACAAAAACTTGTCAACAGTTTCTTGTCTTTGTTATTTATCTGAATAATCTAAATGGGCTCAAAGATTCTAAAATATTCACATCCCTTGATTTTCAAGCCCTTCCCTCTTTGCCAGAGCCCCAACTGCCAAAGAGATTACTTGAGGTTTAAATAACAAAAAAACATAGGACAGAGGAAGTGGTCCAAGGGAACGGAGGCAGTCTGCCTTAGTGTGAACAAACAAGGCAAACACTAGAATTCTTTGTCCCTTTCCAGAGGAAAGATGGTCCTTTCCTCTCTGTAGGCACATAAAGAGGAAAGAGACGTGACTTGCATGTCCCCAAGCTTCTGAGTCACTAATAGACACTGGTGCAGTTTCTGCCTTCCACATAGCTGGAGAGGAACAAGGAGCCCTCGGAAATTTTGTGGTCCCATTTTGCTGCTTATTTATTCACTGAGCATCACTCTTCCTGCGAATTCACTGGGGAAAAAAAAACAATACCCACATCTCTCCAAGGTCAAAAGGACTCATGAATTAAAATTCTCCCACATGACAAAATCACTTTATGCTCAATAACAGTTTAATTTGAAGACTTTCATCCAGACCTTGGGAAAGCTGAGATTTATGAGCATGCTCACTTGCTCTCTCTCCCTCTTTGGAGAGAGATGACCAGCAACCTTCAAAGGAGGCACAGGGCTATCACCTGGGTTTGATTTGATAGTGACTCAGGTCTTAGCCCTTTCATTTTGTGAAGGGACTTGACAGGGGAGGGAAGACAAATTGAGAAAAGGAGAATTGTGATGTTAGCCTGAGCACTAGGCCTACAAGACAAGAAGTAGTCACCAAGTCCTTCCCTTTGCCTCTGCAGAGGCTAAAAACCAATTCAGAAAGTCAAATGCTTTAGTGATATCTTTGCTGAAGTGTCCACAGTTTGCCTTAGCAATCCATGCCACAAGCCACACCTGGCCAGTCTGGAAGTCAGTGTGTCTTGAAACCTGAAGGATTCTTCCTCTTCTTGCTGGTCAGATAGCCTTGGGTTAGCTGTATATCTAACCTCTCTAAGGCTGTTTCATCTGCAAAAAGTGGGTATTTATTGCTTGTCTGCCAGGAGCACACTTTTCTTCTTTTGAGGAACCATTTCTAACCTTGAAGCTAATTACGGTATACACAGCACACATTTCCTGACTACCACACAGTGCCAACCCAAGACACACCTTGGCATATTGAATGAGTTTGAGTCAATGGCAGAAGCGGGAAGGTCATCCTGACTTTCTCCCTGGCCCTTTTCACCTGAAACATGTCATAAAACTTTCATGTGATTGGCATTCCCCCATACCACAAGAAAGGAGCATCCCTATCTTCAAAGACAAAGGGACTTAGAGAAGACCCCGAAAAAAGAGGCTTGGCAAGTTTCCCCAGTTCACTATAATTATGTCATACTCTGACCTATCATACAGCTCTATGAATGCCCACTCTTCATCTAACCTAGCATAAAATGCCCAGCTTTAACCATTTCTTTGGGTCTTAATTTCCCTATGAGGGCTCCAGTGTCAGGTAAAACTTGTACTAAATAAATCTGGATGCTTTTCTTCTGTTACTGTTTCTATTTAATTTTCAGTCTCAGTTAAGAGAACTTCATTCTCCTCAACACAAGGCAATTTCATGTTGTATCCCCTCCAAATAAAGGAGAAGATGTGATTGGGTAGAGAGAGGGAGAGGGAAGGGAAGGGGAGGGGGAGGAAAGGGAAGGGGCAGGGGGAGGGGGAGGGGAGACAGAGGGGAGGGGAGAGGGGAGGGAGCGAGGGAGAGAGAGAGAGCATCTGGCCCTCTGAATCCTATCATTTCAAACTACTCCCACTTCTGTGATTTGTTTTTGTTATTCTTATCCATCTTGATTTTTTCATAAGCTACTTTGAATTGGTCTCTACCACATTTAACTGAAAAGTTTGATCAGTCATCTGCTTTAAGAATGATTGTATTAGGGTGATGAAAATGTTCTAAAATTAGATTATGGTGATGGTTACACTCCTCTTGTAAATTTATTAAAAATCACTACACTTTATACTTCGAACAAGTACATTTTATCTCATATAAATATGTATGCAATAAAGCTGTTAAAAGAATTATCATTGCTTGAGACAACCAGTGCTTTAAAAAACAAAGATAATTATTGTTGTTTGATAGTCTTTTTCATTCATTCGGTGGATTTAGTTTCCTAGTCACTACATTTCAGAGAATATGCCAGGTGCTGGTCATACAGTGGTAACTAAAATTAACTTTATTGTATAGGTTATTATTCTAATTATTTTAAAAATGTAATAGATGTCCTGGTGACCTTCACTTATTCTCATTACATTCTTTCATTTGTAGATGATCCACATTCCTCTCAAACTGAAATTTAAAGTAGGCACAACAGAATCCTCTCTTTGATGACATTGAAGATACATTTGCAGTTAATGCCATATGGACTTGGGGATCTATCTCAAAATTGCAGTGTGACTTTAAGCAAGTTGCTGCTCTCACTAAGCCTAAGCCTTCTCTTCTATAATATGAGGCTTCTAATATCTCCCTTAAAGGTTGTAATAAGAATTTAATAATTTGTGGATGTAAAATGCTGGCCTTGTAGGTAGTCAGCAAATATTAGTTTTTACTCCTCCCTCTAAAAAATGATGTAGACTAACATTGCCCCAAAGGCTCTGAGCCTTTCCTTAATAAGAGGCTACGCACCCTTCTTCAATGATGAAGTAGCGAAGCTTATCATTGCTGTCGCGGGAGGGTGTTGCATAGCATTTGTTCAGGGTCAGGATCAGATGTGTGGCATCAGCTCCAACCACAAAGACCCCTACATACAGCACATCTCGGGTCGTCAATACCACTTCACCCTGGCGATAAGGATGTTTATAGGAGGCATTTTTGTAGAGTGCCATCTTGGTGGTGAAGCTGCCTTCTTGGGTTGGAACTGTCAGGTTAATGACACTAAAAGAGAAAAATCATGAGGTGGAGTACCTTACACAATTATATTTATTCAATCACCTACCATTTTTTGAAGCTGAAAATGAAGAGAGAAGGCAAAACAGATAGTAGCAAAGCCTAAGGCTGCACTGTCCAAAATGGTACCCATTGGCCACAGGTGGCAATTTAAATTAAATTAAATTAAAACTTCAATTCCTCAGCAACTTCAACAACATTTCTAGTGCTCAATAGCTATATATAGCAATTGTATTCAATAGTACAGATACAGATCATTTTCATCATTATAGAAAGTTTTACTGAACAGTGCTAGTTTAAGGAAGAAAATAAGAGGAAGAAAATATGAATCATTTTTTCTCCTTGCTTCAAAGGTAAAAAGCTGGCCATTTTGACTCTTCTAACCCTAACTGCCAACACAAAAACATAGCCACGTATGCAGCCCGTGTGGTCTCTACCTGAGCATGGGCTTCACAACAGAGTCCAAGGAGATCTTGATGTCCAGCTCATAAGCACATGAGAATTCCACGTTGATTGTCCGGTCCCTGGTGATGATGTTGCCGGTATTGTTGGCGCTTTCTATCCAGATTGTGTTCTTATACATGATATGAGTGCCATTGGACTGCAGAGCAAAGGGAGGTCAGATATCATTAACTCTGGGAGTGAGGGTATGGCTTGCATTTCAAATTCACACCCTGAAAGTGGAAGAAAGGCTTCCTTTCATACATACCTCAGAGGCTAGTACAATCAGTATGGAGCTAGCCTCAGCATTTCAAAAAAAAACAACCAACAACAATGTATTACAATAGATGTCAATGACACCCTGCAGTATAATAACCTTGGATGCCCACAGAGGGTGACTTCATGAATTCTAACTATAGCCAGCTCCCAGGTACCTCAGGGAACCCAAGCAGGGAATAATAGGAAGGACAACCATCACAAGTTAATACCATCTTGATTTTATTTATTTATTTATTTATTTTTAGTGAGTGAGAGGAAAGGAGAAATAAAGAGAGGCAGAGACACATGTGCGAGAGAAACAAATTGGTTGCCTCTTGCATGCCCCCACCAGGGACCTGGCCTGCAACCCAGGCATGTGCCCTGACCAAGAATTGAAGTGGCAACCTTTCAGTCTACTGAAAAGGTGCTCAATCCACTGAGCCATGGGAGCCAGGGTCGCAAGTCTTCTTGTTAATTCTTAATATTCTTTTTTTTAAAAGATTTTATTTATTTATCTTTAGAGGGGAAAGGAAGGAGAGAGGGAGAGAAATATCAATGTATGGTTCCCTCTTGTGTGTCCTCTGCTGGGAACTGGCCTGCAACCCAGGCATGTGCCCTGACTGGGAATCGAACCATGGTTGCTTGGTTCCCAGGCCCGCGCTCAATCCACTGAGCTACACCAGCCAGGGCTAATTCTTAATATTCTTAATTCAAAATCTGTCCTCCAACAAACCTTTCACAAGATGTACCCACAAACACCTTCTTCCTTTTATTGTCTAATATAAGTGTTAATAAAAAACAGTTATCAAACACACACACACACACACACACACACACACGCGCGGAAGGAACAGGAAGAAGAAAAGGAGCCAGAGCCTTTGCTAGCCTATGAATTAGATAATTTGACACCAAAAGTTGGGATATTGCTGCATTTTTCTTAAACGATATCTGGGACACCCTTGCCTCCTGAAATAGCTAAATCCCGCTGTATTTGCATGGGAGAACAATAAGGGTAAGAGAGGTAACATGCCCAGCAAAGGGCGACAGCAGGTAGAGCAAACCAAGGAAAGAAGTTTGTCACCTGATGCACTCTCTCCATTTAATCAACCACTTAGCACTAAATAATTGTTCTCCTTGATGTCTTCCATTTTATACATACGTTTTGCTGTTTTCCACAGAGAATATTTCTAACTGGACCATCATGAAGTTGGCTTTAAGGACAGTCACTGTGCAAATACCCTGACAGTTACTACCTTTGCCAGGTGCTCTTTCCAGCTTCAGTTTCTTACCTGTACAATATTTCCACAATTCCCTTTGGTGTTGTTGATCTGAAAGGAGATAAAATCTTCCCCTTCGATGCCAGTGCATTGTCTGTCATTGATCCTCACACCCTCTCTCTCAAAACCAAGCTGGAAGAGTTTGCACTTAGATATGGACACTTCCATCTGGGATGCCTTGCAGGTCACCTCAGCATCAATAATGTCATGTGAGTCTGTGGGAATCAATGATTATGAAAGTCATGTGAGTGAGAGCAGTTCTGCTGCACAGATCAAGGTGAGGGACCCATTACAGTTGCCTTTAGAAAAAGCTAATAACCCGCACAAAGGCTGTGGCATTTTAACTAGGCTTTGACCAAATCAAATGATATGAATTCACTCAAAGCAATGACTGGAGTATTGTAGAGCCTTTTGTAAAGGTGAAAATACTAATGAAGTGTCTTTTCCTCACAAACCCAGGAATTTCCTTGCAGTTTGGTGTAGCTACTTTTCTGTAAGCTACTTACTGCATCTGGCTCATTGTGACTTATCTCAGAAACCTGCCCCAAGTGAGAGTAGTACTGGCTAAGCCACCCAAAGCCCCAGCCTGTTCCCAGTGAACAGTAAGACCTCTTGTTTTTTGACACAGTGACACACCAATTGGCATTCTCTGTGAGTACATGAACACATGCTATATAAACAGAGAAGCATATTCATCTGCTTAGGGGAAACTGAAAGGTTTTCTTAGGCTCCGCCGAAGAAAAAAATGCCAATCAGTCACAAAGTTAGGCAGTATAGTACTTTATTGGGGATTGCGCACCTGGGCAAGGTTCACCAGTCCACAGAGTGATGCTGCGGAAGTCACACCCAAGCAGGGAATATGGCGGGGTTTTATTTGGTTGGCTCTCTTCGTGGGAGCTGGGAATTGGTCCCCATTGAACAAAGCAGCAATATATCATTGGTGGCTCAGGTTGCTATGAGGATATCCGCTTTGGCAAAGCCTGCCATTTTGGCTCTCTGGTTTGATGTCAGCTGTCTTTTCCGGGTTGTAGTTCAGCTTCCATTTTGTCCTACCCTGCCCATCGTGACATTCCGACCTCTTTGATAGGATAAGGGGCGCCATGTTCAGTCTGGCTACTTCCTGCTGTCAGGGGCATGCAGAGGAGAGGGGCTAGAGGTTGGCCATTTCTGGTTTGTCAGGGAGGGGTGAGTAGGTTCGGGTCTGAAGAAGCATCTGGTTGAAGGTAACCCCTTTAAGTTTGCGTGGGAGATAGGGAATTGGGGTCAGGATGGGAAAACGTCAGGCCGCTTGAGGCCAACGATGACTGGGGGATGATGGGAAGCTATGGTTGGGATGGAAGTGTCCCATACTTGTGGGTTGATGAGAGAAGAGGAAATAGGTGGAGCTGGAGGAGGAATTGGATTTTCTAACAGCAGGAGGATAAGGGAGGAGGAACAGGTAGACTTTTGCATGATCTGGACAGTGGCACCTAATTCGAGAATATCCCATACTAAAAATGGAATAGGGCAGGAGGGTGTGATAAGGAATGAATGGGAAAAGGGAAATCCATCAAGACTCTAGTTAAGCAGGGTGGTTAGCCACGGGCAAGATGGGGTCCCATCAACCCCCATGACTGAGATCTGGGAAGGAGTAAGAGGTCCTGAAAAAGATGGTAAAACAGAGTAGGTAGCCCCTGTGTCCACTAGGAAAGAGATGGACTTACGCGCTACCTGCAGCATTACCCTGGGCTTGGCAAGGGTGATGGGGGTCTTCGAGTACGGGCCACTTCAATCGTCTATGAGTCCAAGAAGTTCCGGCGAGGCCAGAGAAGAGTCTACACCTTGACAGGCTGGTCTCCCACGTGGAGGCGCCAGGGACGAGCCTCTAGGGGGACAGGCATTCCTCCAGTGGCCAAGCTGTTGGCAATCGGGGCAAGGCTTTGTTGGTGGACGAGGTTCAGGACACTGGCGGGCCTAGTGCCCTTTTTTGCCACACTTGAAACAGGCCCCTGGTGGGGTGTTCTTTGGCCCGGACTTAGGCTTTGCCCCCGTGCCGGTGTTTGCCGCCAGCCACAGGGCTGCTAGCATGGCTTGGGTTTTCAGGGCTACTTTTTGCTGCAGGCTCTGCCTGAGCAGAGCCTCAGCCTCTGCTTCCTGGTTATTGAAAACCATAAATGCCGTATTTACTAGATCTCGGATAGGGGTTTGGGGGCCATCCTCGGCCTTTTTTCGTTTTCTTCTAATATCTGGGGCCGACTGGGAGATAAAGTGAGTAGCTAGGACAGTGGCCCCAGTGTTAGGAGCCGGGTCAAGGCGGGTATGGAGCACCACTGCCTTGGTTAGTCTGTTGAGAAACAGCGCCAGATTTTCTCCGGGGCCTTGGGTGACCTCTCTGAGCTTATCATAATTGACTGCTTTCTGGGCAGATTGGTGCACACCTGCTATCAGGCACTTGACCATTTTGTCTCCGGGCCTCCAACCTGCCTGTCCTACCTGGTGGCCCCAGCCTGGTTCCACCTCTGGCATGGCTTCAGCGCCTACTGGCATGAAGGGATTGGTGGCATGGGTTTGGTCTGCATGAGCCCTAGCTGCAGCCGGGACATAGCCGCGCTCATCAGGGGTCATGGTTGAGCTCGCCAGGGGTCATGGTGGAAGCTGAAATGATGTACAGGTCATGCCATGTGAGGTCATAAGCCTGGACTAGGTACCGGAAGTCCCTGATAAAATTGGTAGGGTTAGTGGAGAATGAGCCTAGGCGTTTTTCAATTGAAGAAAGGTCAGTTAGTGAAAAAGGAACATGGGCCCAAAGAACACCTTCTGCTCCTGCCACTTCCTGGAGGGGGCAAATGCAGGAGTCTAGGGGCTCTAGATTCAGGCAGGAGTGGTTGTGTGAGCTGACCAGGGAAGAAAGGTCTTCAGAGGGAGGGGGAGAATCTGGTGGAGAGGGGTGGGCCAGGGCTGAAGAGGCTGTTGGCAGAAGCTGATAAGGAGGGGAAGCAAGATCTTCAGGGGAATCAGAAAAGGAGGAGGGAGGTTCTGGGGCAGTAGGCCTAGGAGGCCAGATGGGTTCAGGGTTCCCTCAGGCGAGGAGAACTTGGGCTCTGGAGCATTGGGTGTACAGATCCGGGTGGGAGCGCAAGGCCCAAAAGCCCTGAATGTAGGGAACCTCAGACCATTTGCCAGTCCATTTGCAAAAATTATCTAGGTCAGTAAGGGTAACAAAATCAAAAGTGCCCTCAGGAGGCCGGGTTTCACGATTATCAAGCTGATATAATGTCCAGGACGTAGTGGATAGAAAAATCAGCCGTTTTCGCTTGAAGCCAGGATCAATTGTTGGCAAATTTTTCAGGAGGCACCCTAGAGGTGACTTAGGATCTGGCTTGGACTCCTGCACCTCCATTCCTGGTCCCACAAAGATCAGCAAATGGGAATTGGCATCCCTCAACGCAATCTGCTGATCTGATTGGGTAAAAATGGGGATCCAGGCCCAGGGACATCTCCTCCGGTGCCTAGAGCCTCTCAGTGGAGGGAGAGCAGCCTCTTCCAGAAGGGTCACCCCTACACAGTGCTGTGGTTTGGTGGAGAGCAGTCTCTCGCAGCAGATGGCGGCCCGGAATCAGAGTTCAGGGTCCAGAAACATAAGGGCAATGGCACTTACCCTGGTTCTTTGTCTGGACTGGTCGGGTGGCCACGAGGCCTCCCCAGGGAGTAAGGAGAGGAGCAGTCTTCAGCAGACAACAACTCCTCTCAGGTTTTGGCACCAAAGGAAAGGTTTTCTTAGGCTCCGCCGAAGAAGAAATGCCAATCAGCCACAAAGGTAGGCAGTATAGAGCTTTATTGGGGATTGTACACCCAGGCGGGGTTCCCCAGTCCATAGAGTGGGGCCGAGAAAGTCACTCCCAAGCAGGGAATAAGGTGGGGTTTTATTTGGTTGGCTCTCTTCGTGGGAGCTGGGGATTGGTCCCCACTGAACGAAGTGGCAATATATCATTGGTGGCTCAGGTTGCCATGAGGATATCCGCTTTGGCAAAGCCCGCCCTTTCAGCTCTCTGGTTTGACGTCAGCCATCTTTTCTGGGCTGTAGGTCAGCTCCATTTCTTCCTACCCCACCCATTCTGACAGAAATAATCGACACCACAGGCTCTCTCCTCCTATGCAGCCTCTGGTCAATTAGGCTTTCACTCTCTAATAATGTTAAATTCAGCGTATGCCATCTGAGTTCCTTGCTTCAGGCAAGGGCGAGGAACTGGGAGGCAAAGCAACCCCCTACACAATACCATGGGAGTGCTCCCCCTGTAAGAGGATGGCAGTTGGAAAAAGGACCTGGAGTCCTAGTGGGTTACAGTTTGGTTCAAATATTTTAATTCTTTAGGACCCACCTAAATCAGGCCAGATAAAGCTGGCTTTAAATGTCTGGGTTTTTTTTTTTTTTTTCCTAAGCAAATTGTTGTTCTACAGATTATCCTCTTTTATTTATTTATTTTAAGTATATTTTATTGATTATGCTGTTACAGTTTTCCCAATTTTTTTCCCTTTGCCCCCCTTTTCCAGGTACCCTCCTTCCCTCCAGCAATCCCTCCTCCCTTAAGTTCATGTCCGTGGGTCATGCATATACTGGTAAGCTCTTTGGCTTCTCCATTTCCCACACTATTCTTAACATGTCCCTGTTTATTTAGTGCTTACCAATTATGCTTCTTGATCTCTGCACCATTTCCCCCATTCTCCCTCTTCCCTCTCCCAGCAGATACCCCTCCAAATGATCCTCATACCTATGATTTTGTTCCTGTTCTGGTTGTTTGCTTAGTTGGTTTTTGTTTTCATTTTTTAATTATTAAAATTCTATTTTCTTTTTAGAGAGAGAAGGGAAGGGATAGAGAAAGAAAGAGAGAAACATTAATATGTGGTTGCCTCTCCCATGCCCCCTACTGGGGACCTGGCCCACAACCCAGGCATGTGCCCTGAGTGGGAATCAAACCATTGACCCTTTTATTTGCAGGCTAGTGCTCAAACACTGAGTCACACCAGCCAGGGCTGTTGTTATTTTTTACATTCAGTTGTTGATAGTCTGTTGTCATTTTAATATTCACAGTTTTTATCTTCGTTTTCTTAAATAACTTCCTTTAACACTTCATGTAATAAGGGCTTAACTCCTTTAGCTTCACCTTATCTGAGAAGCACTTTATCTGCCCTTACATTGTAAATGATAGCTTTGCTGAATAGAGTCATCTTGGTTGGA